GTCCAATAAACATGACATAAACATAGTGAATACAGGATATCAGTCATCAATCATCATCTCAGTCAGTCCGCGCACATAGATGTGCGAAATCCATATCTAGACCGAAAATATTAAAAGGAAGTAGCAGAGTAAAACAAAGGAAATAGAGAAGAAAAAAAAAAAAAAAAAAAAAAAAAAAAAAAAAAAAAAAAAAAAAAAAAAAAGGAGGAAGCCCAGAACTAGAAATCAAAGGCTAGAGAAGAGAAAGAGGAAGGCGGGGAGGGGCAGCAGTTGGATACTTTGGGAGGAAGCAGTAGTAAGGTAGCCTTACACTTCACTTCTCGCAAAGACCGACCAACTTCCACTGCCCATCCACTTGCCGAATAATGTCTTCTTCAATTGCCCATTGGCGCAAGAAAGTATCCTTGGCTTCATATTGCGCGTCACCTTTCTCGTAGTGACGACCAACATGCTCCATTCGATCATTCCATTCGAGGAAATGCTGTCCACAGAAGCCACAGGCGCTCTGGGTAGGTGGCTTGCGTTGCTCATGCCAGCAGCGAGCCCGAACAGCTTCAAGGGTCTGCTCGAAGTCATCGCGCTCTTTCTCAGTTTCAGGCTTTTTGCTGTTGCGCCCGACCCAGGGAGCATGCATGCGTCGCTGGTGTTGAGTGAAGAGATCCTTTCGGTTGAAGTCGTTAACGAGATGCGTCTCGTTAAATGAGGCACAACTGTTGTTCGCGTCCTGACCCTTATTCTTGCTGAGGTTGTCCAGACTGCAGCGTCCGACGTCACAACGGTAGAATCCAGGTTGAATATGCTGCGAGGTCACATGGCGCTTCCACTCGTTCTTCGAAACGAAGGTACTCTGGCATCCATAGTGGGAGAAACTGCAGATGAACACCCGGCTGGTCTTAGCACCACCCTTCTTACCGCTGGTCTTGGTAGAGGCCCGAGCTGCAGAGGTAGATCTTGCTTTGGTGGACGTTTTGCGAGGTCGCTTCTTGCTGATGCGGCCTGTGTTCCTGCTAGATAGCTTCGGCGTCTTGAACTGGTTACTGGAAGAGCTGCAGGCTTCTTGCTGACTTGTGGTCTCTGCGTATTGGCAACTCTTGATGTCACAAGCAGTGTCAAATTCATCGTGATGAGGAGGGCTGTTATAGCGAAAGATTCCACCCATGAAATGCTCCGAGTCTGTCTCAAGTTTGACGATAGGATCTGGGTCGGGATATACTTGGGAGGGCGCCACCAGACTGTCGACGTCCGTAAGGGCAGATGGGGAAGAACAAGATCCGAAACCCAGTGGCGGGAGTGCGACTTCATCGCAGGTGTATGGAGGAGACATATAGCATCCCATGCTGATCCAACTCGAACTTCCGGTGGCGAGACTGTCTTTTGTTTCTGGGCTAGAGACGAGTTCAGTGCTCCAAGGTGAGCCGAAATCAGAAGAAACAGCAGTCAATGATTCGGTGTTGTGAGGTAAGACCGGCTCGTTTGACCACGACATGGATGGGGCGATGTAAGGGTTCTTCATAGGTAGGTCGACAGGAGAGAGATGGAACTGGAAGCTTGAAGGGCGTTGGATAGTCGTGGGGTCCGAATAAGGCTTGTACTGACAGGGAAACAGTTCATAATCCTGGGCCAGATCGTCCTTGGAGGATGTATGCGGGAAGTCTGAGAAGGGTTGGAAGTGGGCCATTATGTATAAGCTGCGACGTTGTGCTTGCTTTCCAGGGATCCAAAGCTATGCCAGCTGAGAAGTCGCTGCTTTATAGCAACAAAAAGCAGAGGCAGTATTTCTTCAGCTGGGGGTGCCATGGTTATGTACTGGCCTACGACGGCGGTACACGCGATGGGTCACTGCGAACCGAGAGGAGCGTGGAGTCAAGGCCATTGTTGAGCCGCATCGACTGAGCAGACTGAGCCATTATTTGTCGAGAGCATCAGGTTGGAGTGCACCTTGGGAAGCCGGAGTAGTGCGCCCCTGCAGCGATGGCCGACAGTCGTCTAGCCCGGGCGTCTTGGATGTCAACCTACTCGAATCGGCCAGTCATAATTCGCGATTCTGGGAGAGGTCCCCCTTTTTTGGTTTTTTGGTTTTTCTATTTTTCCAATTTTCTGCATTTTATTTTACGATCCTTGATGCAATTTAATTTTCCTTACTTCCAGGTGGGTAATCGACTCCGCTGTGGAAGGTTTGAATGGCATCGTCGTAAGACGGCGCCTCTGGGCTGCAAGGATGGTGGCCCTCGTGTTTGGGGATTGACAGAACGGCGGCATCCACCAGAGGAAATGATCGATCTGGGCCAAAGGTTAGGCCTGTCTCCAGGCCTCTCCGACCGTCCGACTCCCCGAGAGAGCCGCAAAGACGGTGAGTGCACCAACATTACATTCGCGCTTGAAATTGTCTTTTTGCCAGTCTCCGGCGTCAGACTATTTCCACACCCTCGTGGCTTCCAGCCCAATTTGACGCATCCACCTTCCATTGCCTGATTGGCCTTGCTGCCCTCTCGTCTCTTGCCCAACACACCCAGAGAAGGCAGTTCAGCCTCAATGATAGGCAGTGTTGGAGTTAATACTGCATTAGTCGGGCAACGGAGGGAACCACTAACCACCACAGGGTTTAGGGGGCAAACTAATACGGGGCCGCCGCGGGTCAACTTAGCGAGCGTTATCATCGAGCTCGTCTGATTGTGAACCAACATTCCGAGTCATTCGCTGCGTCCCATCTTCGCTCTAATTCGGCGTCGTGGTGCAAGGATTCTCAATCAGGTAATGGTCGACGATTAGCGGAATCCTGATCTGTCCATAGTTGGTTGCCTCTTGCCCAGTTGTTGACCTTTTCCAGGGCACGGTTTGGCCCTGTCGCCCATGCCCGCACGGCACTAAGCCCGCGCCACGCTGTTCCCCGACACGCTTCTGGAATGGTGCACCGAGAACTCAGGAAAAATGTCGATGAGTCTTAACTGTTAACTGCTGATCGGGGAAGACACCTGCGGATAGCCCCTGGGGTGCCACCCGCCTAGGATACCCGCTTAGAGTCTGACAGCTCATACCGTTAGTAGTATCTGGTGGTGTCTCTCGTTAGCACCTTGGTCATCCTCCGACCTGGGATTCGTTATCGTCGCTTTGATGGTAACGTATCACTGAAACAGTGTCGACCCACTTCCTACTACCCCTTTCCTGTACATTATCTGCTGGACTACGGTCGTTAATGGGGATGTACGGACTACGGAGCAATGTGCATCTTGTGGACGCAGCTGCTTGAGTCCGCTTAGTGCCTATTTTTGGGGGCCGAAAAAAAATCCACTATGACACCGCTCGATGATCATGAGTATCTAATCTCTCATAGGACAGTTCGTTAGGGACGAAATTAAACATCGACGATTATGGATACACTACTTTGGTACTACGGGGTAGCGTTTGATCGAGTCATAGGCCGATCTTGTGATGAGCACCAATTACTGGCCAAGGCACAGTTGACTAAACAAGTTAACAATGCCATGTCGCATCGGACTTGATCCTGGCGATTAGTTCGAAAGTCGTTTGCTGTCATCCCCGTCCAAACTCTCAGGCCAGCGTATCGGGCCTGGACAAAGTCGCGCTACACTCTGGCATGCTGGACAACCAACATCGGACACACACCCCCCCAAGCGGGATATTCGTGTGGCTGAGGCGCGTTGGCTGTGCCTCGAATCTGCCTTACTCCTCCGTAAAATTGATTCGACGTCCACCCATCTGCCATGAAGTCTTGCGAGGCTTCTTTCCATCGAACCCCGGTTTCCGATAGCATTGCCAAGTGGTCAAGACTTTTCTACCCTCCCGCTCATGGGTATCGACGATGATAACATCGATTCTTCCGATGACCAGTCTACTACTAATGCGGAAGGGGTAATTAGTGCGAATCCCCGACCATGACTGCAGCTCCCTCGCAGCTAGCAAGCATGTCGGAAGCTTCCGGGAAATTAATCCAGAGAGCCACATGATCGCGCGGTTAACTCCAGAAGTCAATGGAGTAGTAGTTACTCTGACTGTAACTCCTACTCGATCGAGCGGACTAAACTAATTAACTAACTACAACCACAACTACGCAGCCCACTCTGACTCCGACACTGAGCGACACGGATGAACATCCCTGTTCCTGGAAAGCTCAATCAGTAATAAACCCGTAAGGTAATGTATCGTCCGGAATCTTTGCCTGGCGCGACGGTAATGTTGTGCAGTTCCACCATTCCCTGGGGAGGCGCTTTTTTTTTTTCCCTCTCTTGCCCAACCGGGAATATCCCTCCATCGATCTATCAGTTTTACTCCATTCTGCGCGCCCGGGCGAACATCCTTCTCATCATTTGTTGTTTTGGTTTGGTCTGGTCTGGCCTGGTCTCGGTCTGCATCTCAATCAACGCCCACACCCGCCCGGGCTGCGCTCTGCGCTGCAGGCGCGGGCCCTCGGCTCGCCGCATGCGTTGTGCACCACAGCCCCAGTGACGCCCTGGTGCCCTCACATGTATCATGCGGGAATATCTATGTACTCTGCTCTGTACAATTGAATGACATCATGGGCATGGCAAAGCCACAATGTAGAGTTCTGTACGATGGTGCACACAATGTGCCTTGTTGGGGTATTGTTGTATTGCTTGCGTCTAGACTCTGGTGGATGATGTTACCCTGGGTTATCTGCATGGGGAGGAATGGAACAACATAGTGTGATATTTGTATTACTTCGTAGAGAATATCATCTGAAGATTAGCGATGATTTTCCCGACATTTGAAGGAGCTAAGGCTTGTAACCATGCAAGCAAAATACCCCCTATCTACTCTACTCCATAGTAAGATGATGTAGCTCTGCCATACTAACCCTGACTTCTTTGTTCCCTGAGACTTTAGATCCTTATTCCCTTTCCATCCAGCAGCCTACTCGTCCTTCTCCTTAACAGACTTCTTCTTCGGCACGCGCACCAGCCAGTACAAGAAAACTGCTGCGATGGCGTTAAACACAATAAACGCGAAGAGAATACCCACATTACGCCACCGGTCCGAGTAGCTCATGCTCAGCGCGCTCAGATACTGGTCGGTCTTCGAGATCGAGCATACAAGGCATTCGGTGTTGTCTTCGGGATTGAGTAGAGTCGCTTGGTAATTACGAACGTAGGTGTCTAGATAACTGGAGCAGTTTTGTCCCGTTGGAGGCGGGATATGCAGCAGCTCTATATCGGAGCATTCGACGTCGTTTCCTGCGATGCCTACACTCAAGACAGAGGATACCAGGTAGGTGAAGGGTGAGACCCGGTACATGAAGATCCAGAAGCGAGGAAGGGCAGATGGGGTGGCCAGGACGCTAGATTCACGATGGTCAGTCTTCCTCACAGACAAACGATGCAGTATGACTTACCCGTTAAAGATCAGGCAGAACGAGAACAGAAGTTGGGCGACGTTGCTACCTGTATCCGGTTGCTCGATGCCTGCGATGACCATGGAACTGAATGTTGAGGTAAACACCATGAAGATCAGGACGAGAAGAAACATGGTACCACCTCTTTCGGTGACTGAGTCCGTTGGAATGGCGTTGCGGTATAGGCCAATTGGATAGTACCAGCAAAAGTACGCCGGAACTGCCATCAGTATGTTCCAGGGCAACTCAACCAGAATACTAGCTAGCATGAACGCTACCCAAGAATATGTTTTGGAAGGCCTTTCGCGAACTTCATACAAAGCTCGCTGCCTTGCAAAATATGGCATCATCTGTTGCACCAAGTTGGGAAAGATGACTAACAGCATGAAAATGGCAAACATCTCGTTTTGCAACCCTTGAAGACTGTTCGGCTCTCGCCAGAACGTGAAGCCAATAAAGATCGGCTATGGTGACTGGTTAGCTCTGCAAACCGAGAGGACCACGAGATACTTACTGGTATAACGCACATAGCAGCCTTTGAGTAGATGTATGAAGGACTACGCCAATATTGTTGGAACATCCGCTGCAGGCAAAGGACAAACTGCGCCCAAAGAGGCATGGCAAAGGCTCCATATCCCACCATCCGAGGAGGTGGTGGCCGCTGCAGTAGTTCCTGCTTCATCTCGGCAAGGTCTAGGCGTACCTGAGTGCGCTCAGGACTTTTATTCCACACCTCCGTCCAATCGCGATCAGCGTGGGAGCCTGGGGCAGCGCCGATTACTTCCAACATCCACTCGGCAGGGTTAGCGTTGGGGGGACATTTCACAGAGCCCTTTGCCTCGAAGTACCTAATCAAGGTCTCCATGTTCTGGCCAAGCTCTCCAAAGTACACCGTCTTACCACCTTTTGCTAGAAACAGCAGCCGATCGAATTGCTGCATGAGGATGGCTGATGGTTGATGAATGGTACATAGAATCGCTTGTCCGTGATCAGCTAGCTTTCGCATGAGGGAGCAGATAGACCATGCAGTTTGGCTATCAAGTCCCGAGGTGGGCTCATCAAAGAAAAGAAGAAGGTCAGGCTTGGCCGCGATCTCTACTCCGATTGTCAACCTTTTCCTCTGTTCAACGTTCAACCCCTCACCCAAAACCCCGACAATGGCTTCTGCGTAAGCTTCCATGTTGAGCATTTTTATTACCTCCTCCACGTACGCAAGCTTTTCTTTTCGCGGTGTAGTAGCTGGCTGACGAAGCAGTGCGCTGAAAACAAGGGCTTCCCGCACCGTGGTTGTTTCCAAGTGCAAATCTTGCTGTTGGACGTAACCAGTCTTTCTCTGGAAAGAATCATCCCGCATCCTCCCATCAATTAGCATGTCCCCAGTAACCACTCCCATGGTCACCCGGTTAGCTAGTACGTCGAGGAGAGATGTCTTCCCAGCTCCAGTTACGCCCATCAAGGCAGTTAGTGTGCCTGGTTTGACCCATCCATCCACATGATCAAGAATCCTGCGTGGCTTCCCCTTGACCTTAATATCGTAGCAGACATCTTGCCAGTGAAAGATAGATGTTTGTTTGACAATTGCGGCTGTATGATCAACGTCCTCGCCATCGACGGCGTACTTCTCTGAAGTGGGGTAGCTTTCCACATCGCCGACACCAGGAATCCGTCGTGCAAATGCAGGGATCTTCCCGCGAGGAAATACCAAGATCTCACCTTTCGAAGGCTTCGCGCGGACCAGCTCACTGCTAATGATATAAAGTGCGAGGGAGAAGAATAGGAAGCCCAAGAGAATGCCATAGTTGCGCCAGAGGTGCGATTTGTAGTATTGAAAAGAGACATTCAGGTATCTGTCGCCATCAATGTAGTCTTGACCAGCTACGGCACCATTCTGGCTGCAGATCTTGGAGCTAATAGGAGCATTTTCGTAGCCCGGTCCCGAAGGTACATATACTCCGCACGGAAAGCGACGCTCACTGAACTCGTTGATCATGAGAGACTCGAAGGCATACTACTTCACTATTAGTGATGATCATAGCGCTGGAGTAGTGCTGGTGTCGAAATGCAAGCAAGGTATGGGTGTTGTTTCGTTGTCCAGTTATATGGGCGCACTTACAGCTATTGGGTCCAAGTAATTCAACCATCGGAACCATGGATGCATATTGCGGACTGGAATCGTGAAACCCGTATATATCACGAGAATCAGCATGAATATGGAGGAAGGTACCATTGCCTGAGCCATAGATCGCGAAATCGCTCCCGTCCAGCGGAAGATGTTAGACATGGTCAAAGTAGTTGTCACGGAAAATAGGTAGAACACGAAAAAGTGCCCAGGGGTACGGCGCAGATTAGACATAAAATAGAGAAACAAATTGAATACCACTGAGACGATCGCTTTCGAGGGGAGATCAACAATCATGGAGCTGATTGCCTCTGCCGATGGATGATAGAGGGCATATTTATCATGCTTCTCTACTATGGGTCTTTGCTGCCATAAAGTGAGGATCTCGAGCGCGCTTGCGAATCCGTTCAACAATATTGCAAAGAAGATCAGTGCTCCTCGTTGGAAAAAGCTATCTGTCGTAGGTCCAAGGTTGTAGAACACGCTGGAGATAACCAAGGCCATGACACTATTTCCGATAACTCCAGCCAAGGTCATACTCATGTCACCCTTGAGACGCTGGAAGCCTCTACGAAGACACAGCCGAACTTGCATAGGGTACGATAGCGTGTAGGGTGATTTGGCCCGTGTCCTTTTGGCCTTTTCAGCCGCGCGAGAGCGGTTGAATTCTTTCAACTTTTCACCCCCTAGAGGGAACTCATGCTGAAAAGCCTCAATGTCAGCGAGCAGCTGCTTTCTCTCAGCGCTCGCTCTCCATCGCGCAGCAAACTCATCGGGAGTGCGAGGTACCAAGCGCTCATAGCCTTTGCGGACCTTCCTTTCCGTTGGACTGGTCAGGGAAGTCAGAAAATCGGCGGTGGTTTGTCTGTCTGGGCATTCAAATCCCATTTCGATGAAGAACTGCCTGGCATCCCCGGAGCGCCCGAAATATATTTGCCGGCCTTCATAGAGAACAATGACCTTGTCAAATATATCATAGATAGCTTGGCTGGCTTGGTAAATTGCCACAATTGCGGTAGACCCTGTATGGTCTGTGGAAAGCCGCAACTTCCGGACGAACTCCAAGGCCGTAGAGCTATCCAGACCGCGCGTACTATTGTCCCAACATTGCAAAGGACAACCACACAATATAGTCTCAGCTATACTGACCCGCTTTCTTTCCCCTCCGGATACTCCTCGGATGTACTCATTGCCCACCCGCGTGTTTATGGTGTGGCTCAGACCCAACATTGCCATGACAACATCGCGCATATGGGTTGCGTACTGCTCTCTGGTGACACCCGGGAATCTGTTGGATGGTGCACGAGCATGCGCCGCAAAGTGCAACGTATCGCCTACCGAGAGTTGAGGGAAGTGAATTTCGGTCTCTGCTTGGTAAATGACTTCACCCCGGAAACGGCTATGCATTTCATCCCAGGATATACCCTGATACTGAATGTCGGTTCCGTGGTCGAGCCATAAGCCATGAGTCTCGCCTGCGATAGTCTTGAGGAAGGTTGAGCAACCACTATAAGTATCATCCGTCAGCAACATGGACTGCATAGGAATCGACACGGTGTAACTGAGGGGCCGCAAAGCAGCACTGCATGAATTACCTTCCAGGACGGCCAAGCACAACCAGCAGCTCTCCGCTGTGGACGTATCCCTCGAAGTTACGAAGAATATCAATCCTGACTTTCTTCCCATAACCGAGCTTTTCGCGAAACCAACCAAAACCTTTCAGCCACATGTTTGCGACATTTGCCTGGTAATCAGCAGCGGTTCCGTAGCCGAAGACATTCATGTTCCGGAAGGAGACACCAGCCGTCCGGCGAGGATAGCGATCTGGATCACGCGAGGTGATCCTGAGCAAGTTTTTCGTCCATTTTTGTGAGTTGAACTGCTCCGAATTGGGGTCCAGCTCGGGGTCGCTAGTAGGGTCTAGGAAGGTATTCGTTCCCTCGCCGATGCCGCTCTTGCTAGATAAGTGTGAAAGGCTACGCGCCAGTGCGGTTATCGCCTGCTGATTTTCCCGTCTGATGCTGTCTTCCGATTCTAAGCAAGCGGAATCTGAGCTCTCCGTCTGTCCCCCGGAGGTGAAGGCCGCGCGCATCGAACTTTCCAGCTCCGAGCCCACCGCAGCGGTGATAGCTCGGGTCCCAAAGGGCGCAGGGGGTGCTGGCTGGTTAGCCATGACAAATGTCAACAATCTGGGGTTACGCAATTCATAGTAGGGCACCAGAAAAGCAAATGAGCAACGGTAAGACAAGACACAGAGATGCAGGAGGCACAATCAACATCAGAAGAAAAAGGGCAGGAAGGAAAGAAGGACCGAGAGGAGGAGTTCAAGGTGGTCAGAAATAATCAAAGGGGTCCTAAAGTTTCAGTGATTCAATAAGGTTCGTTACCTGGTACATTGTCGATGGTCTCGAAACCCGGAAGACGGAAAGCCAACATCCGAATTCACATGGCGTCAGGCTGAAAGAGCTACCTGATCCTTGTCTGGTGATGCAGGCCCGTATCCGCTGAAAGTTAGTGTGTTGAGCATTCAGGTACACACGGACTCTCCTTTCCTTCTCCTGATCAAGTTATCAACCCTATGCTGTTCAACTGTTCTACTACGACGTCATGATTATCTCCTATCCATGATGAGCTCATGAACAGAAACGAGGGCATATATGAGGTAGCTTGTGAATGACTCGTCGGAGATTCCAAATAACAAAAGAAGGTATCTTTCCGGATCCATCATCGACCTCCATTCGGTCATCATTCATTATCTCAGCGTCACTTCCGCGGAAGGTTCTCAACGCCGGTCCTGATTGGGTGCGTATTGGATGCGTATCTCGGGGGCTTTTTAGCTCTGCATCCGCCAAACCCCACCGTTACCCCGGATCTAAACCCTTCCGAGCTGTCAGATTAGTTACCATGGATGATGGTGAGCCACTGCCACCCTACCATAATGGGACAATGAATTATGGATCGCTTCGGGATGCCTGATATTTATTGCTCTATAAGGTTACAATTCCATTCCAGGCTGTCCGTGCATATTCATCGGTCTTGTGTTTGTAACTATTCGATACCAATACCACCCCCCCCCCCCCCTCTAGTCAGTGTTGAAGATATGATGCCTCTACACCTAGTACCAGCCTCTCAATCATATGATGTTAGATCAAGCTGGCATTCGGAAGTATAGTATTCCGAATCCATCAGTGACAAACATCAAGCAGGTAGCTAAGGATCCCCGCCACTGTTAGGTCCGATCATTGGAAAAGGGAGCTCATAGTGTTAACATCACAGTCAGATGTAGTTTTCCTCTTTTATAAGGCCTAATAATCAGGTAAGGATAATTTCAGCTATTCCTGAACATAGTACACCAGAAGTCGCATTAATGTTCTATCATAGTTTGTTAGTAGTGCACCACTGTAGAAGCTATTATTATGACTAGAGTGGGTAAGTTTCAGGTTGAGACTTCAGCTCATGGCATCCTTGAGACTGAAATGATACTTGTGTTCCTAGTAGTATTACTACTTGTTATATACTATTCAGATTATGAATAAGACTCACTATTGGTAGCTATTTATAACTATACGTGACCTTTATAAACTTTTTATTGTGTTTGTGTTACCCTCTTCGTGCACTCTCTGAGGCCCACACGTATTTAGTAGTATGACACTTTCTATATATATCTGTATCCTCGCAGTTTACTATCCGGAGGAGACAGCGAGATTAAGACAAGGGTTTACAGTATGTTATGAGTGTCATAATACGGACCTAGGATTAGAATCAGGTAAACTACGAGGTAAAACCAGAACATAAATTGATAAGGATTTGTCGATTCTTGACTGCAAGGCCATTTAGTCTCGTGCTCCGCTCGGGTAAGACTGAGCCTCCGCCATACTTAGCCAACTACTATGTACTAGCACTGGAAGCACTGCAATATCAATGATAATGGTACTTATACACTAAGATAAAAAAGACTGCAATTGCAGCATTTTGCAGCATTTTGTTGTCAAGCTAATGGCTTGCTTGCTGTGCAATGGTACAATTTGTGGTGACCGCAAGCAAACAAACGCCGCGGATTTGATGTCCGGATCAACCAAGATTGCGTGGAAGTTCATTCAGTGTCATACCGTGATTTCCAAGGTTGCCACGTTTTGTCGAGTACGAGGCGATAGATATCTTCCATGTAAACTGACTGGACCACTCGCATTCTCGCCGACAATCAGGCATACAGGCATGAAAGACACCGTTCAGCATCAGGCATAGAAAATGGGAACTGACCGCCTACCCAACAAGCACAGCGAATTAACTGTTAGTAGTAAGAGTTAGGAGAAGAGGGAGTGTCCACCGGCACAAAAACAACCACCAAACGGACTGACGGACTGTTACTCCAAGACCAGATCATCAATCCTCCCTCCCTCCCTCTCTCTCTCTCTCTTTTTCCCTCCGTTAATCTTTCACGCCCTTCCCCACCCCCTTTCCCCTCCACCTAATCCTCCCCCTCCTTCTGCCTCCTGGCCCTACTGCTTCGTCTCAACTCGAACCATATTCTTTCCGACCGTGGGACATCCCCCTCCCCCTTGTCTGCTGGGGTATGTCTAGAGGTGGATCTCTTTTCCCCGGACCTCCTTGTTAATTGTGGTCGGCCGACGTCCGGATGAGGCTCGACCTCCTATCGTTACCAACAATCCACTGTTGGTGGTAACTGGTCCTACGACTAGTTCCTACATCTTATCTCGTGGTGGTAAGGCTGGCCTTGATCGGATCGGGGCTTCCGGTGGTCTCTGTCGGTGTCTTGAAAGTGAGCCGATCTATCTTCACTCAACCCGGGAGAATCCTTCCCAGGCCGTTCGGAGCCTCGTCTTCCTAACTCTCCTTGTCGCGTGCAGTCATCCTTGTCCAACCTGCCGTCCACTTCCCGCTGGGCCTCCTTGAACAACCATGGCGCACTACCAGAATGGTTATCCATCCTACAATCAACCGCCCGGTTCCCCACCGAATCCCACCCAGCACAACCGTTATGATCTCTATCCCGCCCAGCCGACGAGCCCACAATTACGGAGGATGCCCAGTTATAACGTGGGGGACGACGCGGGTCTCTTGGGCTCCCCTAATTCCCAGAACGCCAGGTCCACCGAGGTGAATGCTCGCTATCCGGGCTGGAATGCACAGGCAGAGGGTCAATCGAGTTACAATGTCATGAATACTGGACGCGATGACTACGCAGACCCTCGATACGCGCACGTCCCTGCGCCCACTTCGCCTCAGTTGTCGCGCGCCCGGGCTTCTTCGCAATCAAGTTACCAATACCAGTATACCTCGTCGGTTCCGGCTACCACATCACCTACCCAGCATGCATATAACCCTCAGCAATATGCCTTGCCCCCTACACCATCGCAGCAGCAGGTAGGCTTCAGCCCGCTGGCATATACTGGGCCCAGCACCTCGTATAGCAGCGCAACAGCCACCGGCCACCAGCCTTATAATCCAGCCGCCTACCAACCTGCTAGCTTCGTCGCATCCCCGGTGCAGAGACAGCCCACCAGCGCTTTTGCACATGCTCCCCCTACACCCCAAACTTGGGGTCCTCCCCACCCGCAGTTGCCGCCGCCTCCACCTCCTCGGGGACCGGACCATCCATATGGAAGCCGTCCCTCCCCGCAGTATGGAAATGCTTCGCCAGGTATGCAGTACGGGTTCACAACTCAGCAGGCATCATCCTCAACCACACTTTCATCCGGCTCTTTATCCTATGGCACAGCATCACCTTCTACAACTAGTGCTACCTACATATCTGCCAACAGCTCTTCTACTGCTGGTTCTGCGAATGTTGCAAGCCACCCCTACGCTGGAGGTGCCCAAGTTCCAAACTACCTGCCGCAGTCGCCGCCTCACCCTGGAGATGTCATTACTTCGTTCGATGAACAACCTCCTGCACCGCCAGCCCACTCGACACCCACCGAGGAAGCCTTCGGCAAGCGGTTGAGTTTGACACGTCCCGGATCAGGCCGATCCCTTCCAACACCGCCGATCCATCCCTCTCAAACACAAATGTCACCGCGTAGAACAGACACTATGACCCGACACCCGCAGTCGCGCCCGTTACCTGGCCCGCCGATTGACGCGGATGTAGATTCAGAGCCCTATATGGCTGCCAACGGACATGGAAGCCGGGATAGTCGACCAAGTACTAGGCCTGGCTATGATGAGCTGATGCAACAGGTCGAGGCTGCAGTTGCGGATCGACGGACGGCTGGGGAGTCAGGCTATAGCTTGGATCCATCACATGTGAATCCTCACAGTGCATTGGTCCTGGAACCATCGAATAGCGAATCAGCGGGCCCGCGGCTGTCCCCTGACGAGAGACATACTCACACTAATGGCAGCATCGCCACTGGCACCGGCCAATATGTGAACTACGATGCGTATAGCGATGATAGTGATGCAGAGGCGGCTGCAGGTCTAGCTATGCTGCAAATGGCAGATGAGGAAGACAAAGCACAAGCCGAACGCTTGCAAGACCGTGCGCGACGGGAGACGACTGCTTCTATCATAAGTGCATACGGATCGCGGTCAGAGAATCGCGTACCGTCTCCTCAGCAAGACTGGCAGCAGGATGAATTGGGGTCATATGGCGAAAGCTATCGTCGTGCTTCGCAATATGACGAGGCGGATCACTACGCAAATGGCCATAATGATGATGCTGGTCATCCTAGGCTTGCGCCCTCTTCCGGCTCTATGAGAGGTTCTAACCCCTTTGGAGACGGGCATGAGGAGTATTCAGATGATTATGACTACCCGCCTACAGCGCTCGATGAATCTGGATATCCGTACAATGACATGCAACATCATGCACGAGTGGACGCTGGTGGCACCGGGGGCCTGTCGGAACCTGGAGCGTATGGACGCCGGATGAGTTTTGATTACGGTGATGAGACCGACGGTCCCTTCTCCGAAAATAATGGTTTGCAACACTCGGGAAGTGAGAGCTCAGGCAGGGGAGAGGAACCTGGGGACCTCTTCTTCCATCCTGGCATGCGACCACTTCCACCGGCTCCCGTAGAGCCGGCAAGTAATCCGAACTTAATGTCGCATTTGATGCCGGCAGGAACATACCGGCATCACGAGCAGGGTGATGGGCGGGGCTCTACCCAGTATACATCTTCCCAATTCCCTGTTGCTCCAGATTCGTACGCTTCTTCGACCGTGTCCAGCCCTACCCAAGTTCCACGGTCGACTTCTTTGTCGAGTCATCCAATTGGACCTCGTACTGACCCCCCTATCAGATCGAAAACCGATGCAGACCGGGCGAAGTATAAACAGCAACAGGAGCTATTACGGCAGCAACAGTATGGCGCGCTCAAGCTTGACGTTTCCCCGGATGCTGCTGCTGCCATGACGCTTGATCTGCCCACCATCCCTGCGGGACGCCGTAAGAAGTTCA